GGACCCTATGGGAAATGCATACAAATGACTTCTTTTAGAGAACCACTGAATGGAATGAAACCAAACATGGCATGAATGTTCCTTATGAGGTGCTGACCAAGTGTTGTTACTTTGTAGCCGATCCATCATCCAAGATGGCCGCCAGCGGGGGACTTAGTTTAACATAGGACCCTATGGGAAATGCATACAAATGACTTCTTTTAGAGAACCACTGAATGGAATAAAACCAAACATGGCATGAATGTTCCTTATGAGGTGCTGACCAAGTGTTGTTACTTTGTAGCCGATCCATCATCCAAGATGGCCGCCATCGGGGAACTTAGTTTAACATAGGACCCTATGGGAAATACATACAAATGTCTTCTTTTAGAGAACCACTGAATGGAATGAAACCAAACATGGCATGAATGTTCCTTATGAGGTGCTGACCAAGTGTTGTTACTTTGTAGCCGATCCATCATCCAAGATGGCCGCCATAGGGGAACTTAGTTTAACATAGGACCCTATGGGAAATACATACAAATGTCTTCTTTTAGAGAACCACTGAATGGAATGAAACCAAACATGGCATGAATGTTCCTTATGAGGTGCTGACCAAGTGTTGTTACTTTGTAGCCGATCCATCATCCAAGATGGCCGCCAGCGGGGGACTTAGTTTAACATAGGACCCTATGGGAAATGCATACAAATGACTTCTTTTAGAGAACCACTGAATGGAATAAAACCAAACATGGCATGAATGTTCCTTATGAGGTGCTGACCAAGTGTTGTTACTTTGTAGCCGATCCATCATCCAAGATGGCCGCCATCGGGGAACTTAGTTTAACATAGGACCCTATGGGAAATACATACAAATGTCTTCTTTTAGAGAACCACTGAATGGAATGAAACCAAACATAGCATGAATGTTCCTTATGAGGTGCTGACCAAGTGTTGTTACTTTGTAGCCGATCCATCATCCAAGATGGCCGCCAGCGGGGGACTTAGTTTAACATAGGACCCTACGGGAAATACATAAAAATGTCTTCTTTTAGAGAACCACTGAATGGAATGGAACCAAACATGGCATGAATGTTCCTTATGAGATGCTGACCAAGTGTTGTTACTTTGCAGTCGGTCCATCATCCAAGATTGCCGCCAGCAGGGGACTTAGTTTAACATAGGACCCTATGGGAAATACATACAAATGTCTTCTTTTAGAGAACCACTGAATGGAATGAAACCAAACATGGCATGAATGTCCCTTATGAGGTTCTGACCAAGTGTTGTTACTTTGTAGCCAATCTATCATCCAAGATGGCCGCCAGCGGGGGACTTAGTTTAACATAGGACCCTACGGGAAATACATACAAATGTCTTCTTTTAGAGAACCACTGAATAGAATGAAACCAAACATGGCATGAATGTTCCTTATGAGGTGCTGACCAAGTGTTGTTACTTTGCAGTCGGTCCATCATCCAAGATGGCCGACAGCAGGGGACTTAGTTTAACAAAGGACCTATGGGAAATACATACAAATGTCTTCTTTTAGCGAACCACTGAATGGAATGAAACCAAACATGGCATGAATGTTCCTTATGAGGTACTGACCAAGTGTTGTTACTTTGCAGTCGGTCTATCATCAAAGATGGCCGACAGCAGGGGACTTAGTTTAACAAAGGACCTATGGGAAATACATACAAATGTCATCTTTTAGAGAACCACTGAATGGAATTAAACCAAACATGGCATGAATCTTCCTTATGAGATGCTGACCAAGTGTTGTTACTTTGTAGCCGATCCATCATCCAAGATGGCCGACAGCGGGGACTTAGTTTAACATAGGACCCTATGGGAAATACATACAATTGTCTTCTTTTAGAGAGCCACTGAATGGAATTGAACCAAACATGGTATGAATGTTCCTTATGAGTTGCTGACCAAGTGTTGTTACTTTGTAGCGGATCCATCATCCAAGATGGCCGCCACCGGGGGACTTAGTTTAACATAGGACCCTATGGGAAATGCATACAAATGACTTCTTTTAGAGAACCACTGAATGGAATAAAACCAAACATGGCATGAATGTTCCTTATGAGGTGCTGACCAAGTGTTATTACTTTGTAGCCGATCCATCATCCAAGATGGCCGCCATCGGGGAACTTAGTTTAACATAGGACCCTATGGGAAATACATACACATGTCTTCTTTTAGAGTACCACTGAATGGAATGAAACCAAACATGGCATGAATGTTCCTTATGAAGTGCTGACCAAGTGTTGCTACTTTGTTGCCGATTTACTGTTCAAGATGGCCACCAGGATATTTTATTAAATAACAGGACCAATGTTAATCAAAATTTGGCCTCAATCATTATTTGGGTATCTGTTATGATTTTTATCTATCTTTACATGATTTCTAAAACCAAAGTAGAGTCAGGTGAGCGACACAGGCTCTTGAGAGCCTCTAGTTGAGAACTTGTAAACGTTGAGATACCCACCCTTAACCGTATTTATTCCTGTTCGACATGTCAAGAAGATTTGAATGACATACAGGGTCATTCTCCTAGGTGTCACATATGCATATCACTTTACTAGACCAAACCAATGTGTACTGGACTCAGCCCAATGTCAGGCGACCAAGGGGAATGACGAATTATAGCTTTGTTTGCGAGACTTCGTAACAGCATCCTGTTACAATTATTTCTTGTTCATTATAAAATCTAATTGATGCAAAAAATAAGTCTAGGTTGAATTTTCTTTTAGTTTTTTTAGTTATTTCTGGGCCTATAAAATTTTCATTTATGGCTCGTTTTATAGGAATTTACATATTTAAAATAAATTAGAAATAACTTTTGAAAATGGTAGGATTGGATAGCAGAAACATTAAGGTACAAATATTTTTATGAAACTAAGATCAAGTACAAATTTGGGTAATGTAACTTTTATCGTTCATGAGTTATGTCCATTTATAATGTTATATGCAAGTGGGGGTATCATCTGTGTCCAAGGGGACACATTCTCCATTTATTTGATACTTAAAATAGCTGAGATAAGTAATTAAACCAATTCTTCCACAATATATATCTTAACTTCTGCCACGTTTGCCTTGGTTTTTTTTTAATTAACTGCCTATAGCGCCCTTGGTGCTTTGATTATCCATTTTTTGCAACTTTGCCAGAATTAAATAAGTTTGAGAGAAACTTGAAAAAGCTAAAAAGATCTGCAAAATAAGATCTGAATGTAAGTCAACATAGCTGATGTGTCACACTAGTTGTAGGATTTATTGCTATTAAATGACAGATTTTATTTTAAAAACCTCAATAGATAGGAATAAACTGTAAAATATAATAAATGATCATCATTACAAGATCTGCATTAATGCCACTGAATAAGATCTACAAATAACCAAACATAACTGATTGCAATAAAGAAAAAAAATAAATATCAAAATGGCTTATTGTTTACCAGGTGAGCGATTCTGGCTATTGGTAGCCTCTTGTTTCAATCCCTGTACCTCCTTCACACTGTCTCATAATTACTACTAGGGGGTGTTTAACGACCTTGACTTCCCATGGGGGTCTCACACGGTCAGTTTACTTAATTGATTTGTCACCAACTGTTTATAATACTGAATCAAAAAGATTTATTATTTAGCATTGTATTGGTTACCTACATTTTCAAGTCTTAGACTCAACTTAATCTTGATATAAATTTCCTTCTCGCATATTTGTAACAGATTTCTCTTTTTATAGATATAATAAGATGTGTTATGAGTGCCAATGAGACAACTATCCATCCAAGTCACAATTTGTAAAAGTAAACCATTATAGGTCAAAGTACGGCCTTCAACACGGAGCCTTGGCTCACTCCGAACAGCAAGCTATAAAGGGCCCCAAAAATGACTAGTGTAAAACCATTCAAACAGGAAAACCAACGGTCTAATCTATATAAAAAACGAGAAACACTTATGAACCACATCAACAAACAACAACCACTGAACATCAGGTTTCTGACTTAGCACAGGTGCAAACAAATGCAGTGGGTTTAAACGTTTTAATACACATATTACTGTAATTTGAAAACAGGTTGATTTTTGTGAGTTGTAAGGTGTAATGTTCACATACACCTTATCGCTATTTGTCTGCCATTATTTTCCGTCACAGATGTTTCCGTAAAGTTTTGATGTAATAAGAGAAAATGTCTAATATCACAATGCAAGCCTTATTGTTGTATGACGTCAACAGTTCTAGTGTCGCAAAATGTCAAGTCAAGTGTTGTAGAATCTGAAATAGGGATAAGGTCTCTTGTTCCTGAATAACACAACCTGATTATTTTTATACTACAAATTGAATTTTTTAATTAGAAATTTCTCAGCAACTATGTATTACTTTAATTTGATTTAATATATATATATGTAATCAAGTAGGTGAGTTTACATGTTTGAAACTGACACTTAAACAATTCTAATAATAATTTCATGGATCTTATATAGATGTGTACATTTTGAATCAGTCATAGTATAGAATTTGATGATATGAACATTCCTTCTTTATACATTTTATATTGTATGCTATCTGTTAAATGAGGGATTCCCCCCTTTTAAATGTACCACAATATCCAGACTTTACTCTATTAATTTTTGGGGCCCTTTATAGCTTGCTGTTCGGTGTGAGCCAAGGCTCTGTGTTGAAGACCGTACTTTGACCTATAATGGTTTACTTTTATAAATTTTGACTTGGATGGAGAGTTGTCTCATTGGCAATCATACCACATCTTCTTATATCTATTTAGCTGCCAAAATGTTCTTATCCAGTCCCATTTTGTAATTTTTTTGCTGTAATTTAAAGATTGCTGCAAATTATTTTTTTACAAAATTCTAAGAATCATTTTTAGAGAAAATCATAAACTGTGAAAGGCATCTGTTCACTTTGGATTTTATGTTCAAAATTTTACTACACAACTAAAACTTACTATCAAATTAATTTACAACACTTAATACAAATCAATCATTTTTTCCAGTGGCTACAACGTTTTCATTAATTGTTTATCAATAAAAAACAAAGAGAAAACTGGTAATATGTGCAAGAAGTCATCATTAAAGACATGGCTGCCTATCTATTTGTCAGCATTTACAACATTGAAGGAGACGGACATAGCTGCTTGTAAAGGTAAGAAGAAACTACTTATTTTAATCCAATCATTAAGACCATCAAAAGTCCATCTTGTCTGGTTTTACCCATTAGTCTGCCTCATCTGCTTAAAATAGTGAGGGAAAATATTTAACATTTTTGATGTACAAATGTTGACCATTTTTACTAATTATATTTTAATTATAAATTTAGGAAGTTTGTTAAAGAATTCAGATTTGATTTCCTGTTTAAGTATTTATATTAAGTTTGATTCCTGATTGTGAAAATTGTTTGTCAATTATTTTGAAGAAAATCATGACATTAGTTTTGAAAATTTGGGTGTCTAAACATTGAGTTACTACTACTATGCAGGTTTAAACGACCTTGACTTCCCCTGAGTTATTGGGTTGGCTCAGATTATACATATTTATAAATGAGCTGCGTCGGATAGAAATGGACCTTATGGAAATGAAAATCAATACATCTGTTAACTTATTTCGGGTTGAAAAAATCTCTATGCAAAGTCTGTAACTGTTTGAAAATTGAGTTGATATAAACCCTACAAAATAGACCAAAGTTCATGTTTTATTTCGTATTTGAATGTTCCAAAATCAATCAAAGTCTTATACATGTACATATATACCTGCACTTGCAAGGTCGATTCTATCTGACCAGCTAAAATATAATGATAAATTTTTATAAATTTTTTTTTTTTTTTAATGTTTTTTGTCTTGCCTTTTTGATAAAGGCATTAATTTTTTTTACAGTAGAATAATTGCATGAATATAGGTCAATATTTGTTTTAGAATATGAATTGTATTCCAGTCTCAAGTTTTCCTTCAAATAGTTTAATGCTGTTTTTTTTAACATTTGTTTGTAGTTTTGCTTTTAGATTCCAGTCTCAAGTTTTCCTTCAAATAGTTTAATGCTGTTTTTTTAACATTTGTTTGTAGTTACTGATGATAATGTAAATGATTGTAACGATGTGAAAGAAGTAGAGACGATGGCCATGGTCAGTGGATGTACAGCTTATTCTCAATATTTGATCCACCCAAGCTGCCAGTAAGTGTCTTACATTATCAGAGTTTACTAAGGAATAAATATACAGGATGTGTTGTTATGAACAAAGGTTCCAAGAAAGTTAAAATTGAAAGAAAATAAATTACAAATGGTTGAGAATTATAATGATTAAACATTTTTTTCTAGAGGTTATTGATGTGTAAACTGGGCAGCTGACTCAACAAATGTCACATAAAGAGTCTATTCAGTTTTTGAGTTAATCATCCCAGTTTAACCATCAATAACCTCCTAAAAAAATGTATTTAATCCTATAGTATTGATTTTTATCTAATATGTAGTCAGGCTTAAACAGTCTTTTTTATGATGTATTTAAAAAAAATTCTTACTGCATTTTCTAGCCATTGCACTACAAAAACGAGAGAATAGGATGGAACTATGACCCTCTCTTTGAGTTGTGATCAATAAAGAACCTGGAACAAGTAAAATAAAATTATTGAAAAACACACATACTGTCTTAGAATTAAGTAAAAAGAAAAAAACTTATTTGTTTTTTGCTGTGCATATATTGATTCAACACTTAGATTTATCTTTATTTCCAGAGTTTGGACACCATATATTCGTTGTATAGCTAAAATGTTTCCAGCATGTAAGACTGACCAAATAGCTAATACATTACTGAACTCTTCAACCGTACAGGGACGTGTTCCTCAAGGTTATGATGTTATGGAATCCTGTTTCCCATCACCAGGTCAGGGAATTATTAATATTCTGACAGTTATTATTATCAAGTCATAAAAACTGTAGACTTTAAAGCATCACTATGGCCTAAGTTGTAAGTTCAGGTGTAGAGATGTAAAGCAGTACTGTAAAACAACTACAAGACAAGTTCTATTTATAATACATTATGATATGATGTTATCAGGTAATGTATAATATCACCATCCATAAGGACATAGGGCTTCCACTGTAAGGGTATAGTATTTTTCCTTGCACAGCCAGCTAAGTTCTTTAAGTGACTATTCAGGCCAGGCTGCAGTAAAATGTTAATAGATATTTCATCTAATATTGAATACTCAAGAATCATATCATCATTATCTTTGATGTATTTACATAAAATGTATGGAAAATAGTAGAGTCCTTCCCTGCCATAGTTTTATTTTTATGTCTCAAGAAAGATGATATAAAGACTGTTATCACTTATGATGATTTATTTTTCAGTTGATTTTTTTTTATATTTCTCCAGATAGAACTTCATCAAAATTTGAAATAACTGTGACATTAGACCTTCCATGGAAAGTGGAGTATGCTGATAAGAATAGTCAAGAGTATGCCAACTTTACAAGGAAAGTAGAGGAACAGGTAACTTGTTTTTGTACTTGATGTAGATCAGGTGTCTTCTGCCACCTTAGATTGTAAAATAGCAGAAAACAATTGGAGTTCAGTATTTTTGTTAATACTTTTTGGGTCTAGACTTTTAATGAAATGCTAATTTTGAGAGACGAATGTAATTTATTTGAAAGATTTTTCATCTTAATTAAGAAAACTATGTGTTTTATTTTATTATTATGACTGTTTACAAATACAGAAAATTTTTTGTTTCGATTTTCAACTCAGCCATATAAGGGGAGATAACATAGATTATGTAACTTTTATAAGGGAATGTGTTGTTAATTTACCTATTTTGTTTGTAGTAAGAAAATTGATTATCAGTTTTCCGCACTTGTTTTTGTCATTCTTGAAGATATTGATTTGATAATTGGTATATAGTTTTATTATGACAAGTTACAGTTCAAGTTTAAATTTTGTTGCGGTCTGATGATTTTGTGCAGAGTTAAGGTCCTTGGACTTAGAAAATTCACTCTAATAATCAGTTTTCCACACTTTTTTTTCGTCATGCTTGAAGATTTTTAAGGTAGGGGACTATGTATTGCCATGCAATACTCACAGAATGCTTGTTTATTTTTATTTTCTGAAAGCACATAGTAAGAGCTATCTTCTCATATTTTATCTTAAAATTTTGCTTAGCCTGCTACTAAAAAAAAAACCTGTGACCCATACTTTTTATTATATTTTTGAAAAAAGTATTATGTAAACTACATTTTGGCAAATTATAAAAACATTCTATTTATTTTTATTTACACCCCAATCTACCATAACCATTTAAAAAATCTGTTTATGCAGAGGGAATGATACATAGAAAGATACCAATTACCTCTAATTTCTATAAAAAAAAAGTAGATAAAACTAGTACTACTTCCCCAGTTTTGTGCCTATACAAAAAAGTTTATATTTTTCTGACATTGACCTAATATTGTTTTTATACTGCAACTTAAATTAATACATTGATAGCTATTTAAATTGTAACACAAATTTCAAACTTATTTTCATCCCTAAATGAACCCCTTGATTGTGGAAAAAGTGATCCATGATGAAGTTGACATTGCAACAAAATATAGCTGTGTTACTATATTTAGGAAATAAACACAACTAGTTGCAGTATAAACCAAAATAGCATATTGTTTGAATTCTTCCAGTTTGATTAAATAAAAAAGTCATGAGTTCGTACAGAGTTCATGAAATTTGTTTGAAATGTAAAGATTTATGGAATTTATTTCAGGTGAGAGCTCTCAATAAAGACTACAGTGCTGCTATTGAATATATCAAAGTCATTGATGTCAGGTATATAACACATAGTAATATTTCCTATTTAAATCACTAATTCCAGTCATGCTTCAAATTTGTCAATTGTCAACGTAAAATGATATGCAGCTTTACAATGATTTTTTTTTTAAAGTAAATGAAACACTAAGTATCTTGAAGATAAAAAAATAAAAATTCACCCCTACAGCACTTGTTACAAACAACTTCCAACGAGCACATTGGTCAGTTTTAACGTAACTTATTTTGCTAATTTATTTGTTGTCATATATATTTTACATGCATGTGACATAGGATTAAATCACCTTTTTCAGTTTGATTTTAGTGCCATAAAAGGAGGTTCATACAATTTAAAGGGAGGTAACTGTTACCATGATAATGCATGTTCCATTTCTGTATTTGGGGGTGTGGTATCATTTTCTGAGCTTTTTTCACTTTACTTCAAGTTTTAATTATATTTTTTTTTCAGATATGGCAGTGTAGTTGTTGTAATGGAATTGAAATACTACGTACAGATAAAGGTATCAGACATATCATCAGGAACAACACAGATGATAATGACTGCAAGGAGAGATCCCAGCTCACAGTATGACCTGATTAAAACTGGAGATCCAGACAGTATTATTATCGAAGCAAAGGAAGGTAATTATTTTTAAATTGGAATTTACAACTTGGCCTAATGAAATCTGGAAGTACAGTATTATTTTTTAAGATAAGATAAGATGTTATCATTTTATTGCTCTGTGGTGTGCATAGACTCTCTGTTTAAGATACATTTAAATTCAATTTTCCTGTGGTCCCAAAATTTGTTTTATATAAATATATGTATTTCAACTTCTGAATAGTCAAAATTTCAGTTGTTAAGGTTAACAAAAGCCTCTAAATTGTGTTCATTATCTCAATGACAAAATGAAAGTCAAGGTCTAAACTGACAATTTTCACTTTTTTTTATTCAGGAGCTGTGGTCCCTTATTGAATGGTTAAATAGTACTTTATTTAAATTCTGTGCAATAACTTGGGAACACGGGATCCATTCCTCTGCAAATGTTAATGTCTTGTTTCTCATGACAAAGCTGAGATCAAAATTGGTTTTTGATTATTTTCACTTTTGCTGTTCAATAATTATGGCCCTTTAACAATAACATTAATAAATGTAAGAAAAACCCAGTATGCTGTCATTTTGACAACCTTTTATTTTTCCCTTTTAGATGACACCCCGGTAACTGATGTATGTGGAAGCTACAATGCTAGAGTAATGAACAGTACTTCCTGTGCTGCGGCTGTGTATTTCCTTTACAATAATACAAATGCTGATCAAGATTTACTCTGCAGGTAATGATACCTGTAATCACTAACGTATTAATAATTTACTTAAATTGGAGTATTTTAGTACAAAGATTTTCAAATGCTTATCATTATTGGACACTTAGCACTCATGCAAACATTTAAAAAAATAACTATGTCAAGAAATAAACAGTTCTATCAGGAGTTGTTCCCCTTAAAAAATATATCATAAGTTGGTTGCAGTGCTTGTTTTAGAGATCTCATTGACATGAAGGTATTGTAATTCTCCATGCAGAAAAGTTGTGGAAGATATATAATTGACAAGTATGTAAGTCCATTTGTATACCTTAATTTAGCTGGAAAATATGTACATCATACCCCCTTCATATTTGAATGAAGTTTTTCTCTCATCAAATTCAAGTATTTGAAAAACAATTTTGGAAAGAGGATTCTTTCTTTAGTTTCAACAAATTTCAATTTCTTTTTGTTTTTAGTACCTAAAACATGCATCTAGAAAGATCTTTTAACATTAACTTTGTTTCAATAAATTTTTTATCTGACTTGAATATTTCATACCCATACTCTATATGTGTCATAGGAATATATGTGGTTAAAAGACAGAAAATTTTATCAATTTCCACCAAAATTTCTTATTTTTGACCTCTTCAGGTAAATGTCAATGTTTTAGAAGAAAAGCTTGACAAAAACAGTTCTTTTTCACTTGCTTACATATCTATTCATCATCTTGACACATTTTTTATCTAGAAACAATTGACTTCATATTCTGGGCCTAATATGACCCTATCAAACTTGCTCCTTTAACAAACATTTTTATAAGATGAATAAAGCTTACTGCAGGTAGATACAGTGGTTGACACAATCTATTAGAATAAAGCTTACTGCAGGTAGATGGAGTGGTTGACACAATCTATTGGAATAAAGGGAACAACAACCCAATGATACAAACTACTAAAAGGTATCCAAAGGGCAACATATAAAAATCAATAATAGACAGCTGTCTATACAATATGTCAAGATCTAATTAGATTTATTGGTTTATAAATTAAAAAAACAATAGCAATTTAGGAAATTTTAAATAACATTACAACCTTGTTTTAAAGTAATAAGAATAGAACATATTCATTTTGATAAGTTGAAGCCCAATCTATGATAGTATGGGGACATATTGATTTTTGGTTTGAACAATTGTCCATTCATTTGTCCATCTTTATCAGGTTAAAGTTTGGCTTAACATGCAATGAAGTTGTCTTCACATCAACTTGAAACTTGAAATATAGGCCAAATTAGGATTTTGACCTGGATTTCTGGGTTCACTGAACATGTAAATGAGATAGTGTGAAATCAGTACATTTTAGATGAAAGGTTTATTTTAGATTATTTACCCTGAAATGATGGTCATTTTCACTTCAAACTTACTACACATGTTAATTTTGATGTAAACTTTCTAAAATCTATTTGCCAAATTAGGGTTTTGACAGAGAGCATGGTGTCCAATAGTTTCTTCTGATCTTTAGTTCCATTTAAAAAAAAAAAATCACATAAATTGTGTACCTTTTCATAGGGAGCCAACAAACAGCATTCTGTATCAAATCTTGAAGGATAAATTAATTGGCGTGTAATTCAGTCAATTGTAAGTTGAAACTATTATATCCTCAAAACAAAAATAAAATCAGTTAAGGTCTTAGGTTTGATGAGAAATTTGTGTTTTCTTGTGCTTTTATTCATGAGAAAATGATAAATTTTAGAAGAAGATGTGGTATAATTGCCAATGAGACAACTTGCCACCAAAGATCAAAAGACATAGAATTTAGCAGCTATAGGTCAAAGATTTGATAATTTTGTTTTAGTGCCTACAATCTCTACCTGAACTGTTTACATTTAACTGTGGAGGAAGAAACAGGAAAAGATTGTAAAAGATCAAGTCTAGATGCATGGATGCCAGCTGCTTTACCATATATGCTAAATATTCCAGACTCTCGATTCAGATCTTGTGATGGTAAGCTGCCTTTACTTGAATAAAGTCACGGAAAGATATGATATTACTGGGATATTGAAAATATTTATAGCTTCATTGGGTTCTTTTCTTAATGTTATAAAAATAAGAAGATGTGGTATGATGGTCAAAGATTGATTGATTGTTGGTTGCTTAAAATCCAGTGGCAAATATTTCATGCATGTTAAGGACGATGATTGCCAATGAGACAACCCTCCATGAGAGACCAGATGACAAAGAAGCTAGCAGCTAGAGCTCTATGTATATCCTTGAACAATGAGTAAAACCTATACCACATAACCAGCTATAAAAGGTCCTTACATGTAAAACAATTCAAATGAGAAAACTAACTCCCTGATTAACAATTTTTTAGACTAAAATATAAAAAAATGTGAAAGATATAATGAATACTACAAAAGATATAATGAATACTACAGGAATACAGTGATCCTGATATAAGGTTTGTACACAGAATGAACAGCTTTTGTTATAGTCAATAAGGTTTGTACACAGAATGAACAGCTTTTGTTATAGTCAATAAGGTTTGTACACAGAATGACAGCTTCCGTTATAGTCAATAAGGTTTGTACACAGAATGAACAGCTTCTGTTATAGTCAATAAGGTTTGTACACAGAATGACAGCTTCCGTTATAGTCAATAAGGTTTGTACACAGAATGAACAGCTTCTGTTATAGTCAATAAGGTTTGTACACAGAATGACAGCTTCCGTTATAGTCAATAAGGTTTGTACACAGAATGACAGCTTCCGTTATAGTCAATAAGGTTTGTACACAGAATGAACAGCTTCTGTTATAGTCAATAAGGTTTGTACACAGAATGACAGCTTCCGTTATAGTCAATAAGGTTTGTACACAGAATGAACAGCTTCTGTTATAGTCAATAAGGTTTGTACACAGAATGAACAGCTTTTGTTATAGTCAATAAGGTTTGTACACAGAATGAACAGCTTTTGTTATAGTCAATAAGGTTTGTACACAGAATGACAGCTTCCGTTATAGTCAATAAGGTTTGTACACAGAATGAACAGCTTCTGTTATAGTCAATAAGGTTTGTACACAGAATGACAGCTTCCGTTATAGTCAATAAGGTTTGTACACAGAATGAACAGCTTCTGTTATAGTCAATAAGGTTTGTACACAGAATGAACAGCTTCTGTTATAGTCAATAAGGTTTTTACACAGAATGAACAGCTTTTGTTATAGTCAATAAGGTTTGTACACAGAATGAACAGCTTTTGTTATAGTCAATAAGGTTTGTACACAGAATGACAGCTTCCGTTATAGTCAATTAGGTTTGTACACAGAATGAACAGCTTCTGTTATAGTCAATAAGGTTTGTACACAGAATGACAGCTTCCGTTATAGTCAATAAGGTTTGTACACAGAATGAACAGCTTCTGTTATAGTCAATAAGGTTTGTACACAGAATGACAGCTTCCGTTATAGTCAATAAGGTTTGTACACAGAATGACAGCTTCCGTTATAGTCAATAAGGTTTGTACACAGAATGAACAGCTTCTGTTATAGTCAATAAGGTTTGTACACAGAATGACAGCTTCCGTTATAGTCAATAAGGTTTGTACACAGAATGAACAGCTTCTGTTATAGTCAATAAGGTTTGTACACAGAATGAACAGCTTTTGTTATAGTCAATAAGGTTTGTACACAGAATGAACAGCTTTTGTAATAGTCAATAAGGTTTGTACACAGAATGACAGCTTCCGTTATAGTCAATAAGGTTTGTACACAGAATGAACAGCTTCTGTTATAGTCAATAAGGTTTGTACACAGAATGACAGCTTCCGTTATAGTCAATAAGGTTTGTACACAGAATGAACAGCTTCTGTTATAGTCAATAAGGTTTGTACACAGAATGAACAGCTTCTGTTATAGTCAATAAGGTTTTTACACAGAATGAACAGCTTCTGTTATAGTCAATAAGGTTTGTACACAGAATGAACAGCTTCTGTTATAGTCATACTTTGCGATGTAGGTCTACACTATTTTAAAAGGTTGACTTACACAAAAATCTTCGCTTCAATATTTTTGTTTATTAAAAGAATGTCATTCATGTCATCTCTTTCAAGGAAAATTGGTTTGATAACTAAATGTGTTGTATAGTGAGATATAAATGTCAAAATTTATTATATTTTTTTTAATTCCCTTAATTTTGAACAAATGCTAAAGAAGGGGGAGTTCAGTTCTTCCAACCAATAAAATCTACATGTTTCTAACTCTAACAATTACTGATATGGTAGTGATTTTTTTTTCTGACTTTCAGTTGACGATGATGATGTATTTTCATGTGGTGATGTACAACTTCTGGAGAAGATGGCGTTCAACAGTTCTTGTGCTAACTATGTACAATACCTACAAAGTCCATCATGCAGGTAGGCAACTTATTGCGAACCCAAAGAAAGTTTTCCACAGTGCCATCTCTATCTTGACCAGGTATTTAAACTTTTGTAAGTTCACCTGTCCTATTGAATGAATACAATAGCTATTTTTCTCTGTGTAGTTTATTCACTGGGACCTTTAAATTTCTTCTAAGAGAAATCTATCACTCATTGATTAATTTACCTGAGTAAAAAAAATTTCTTATATATAGACAAAAATACTTTTTTTATACTCATTAACTGCGTGTGATGATGTATTTATTCAATATTAATAATATATATTCATTCAGTTTAATTAAAACATTGATTCAATCATAAAAAGTTGATTTCAAACAAAAGTTTTATCAATGTTCCTATTGAAATTTGATTTTTTTTTTGCCTAGTTATAGAGAACATTTAAGAAGATCCTAATTTGAACATCATAATTTTCAAGTTTTTATTCATGTCAAACAAATTTTTTTTTAAAAAAGAACAATGTTGAAAGTTTTGTCAGAAATCAACTTTTTTTTTTACTGAGGTAAATTAATCAATGGGTGATAGATTTCTCTTAGAAGAAATTTAAAGGTCCCAGTGAAAAAACTACATGGAGAACAATAGCTATTGTATTCATTCAATAGGACAGGTGAACTTACAAAATTTTAAATACCTGGCCAAGATAGAGATGGCACTGTGGAAAACTTTCATTGGGTTTGCAATAAAATAATAATGAAATTGTTATACAGTTTGCCATAGAATACTTTTATTGGTACCAAAGGCAAATATCAGATTCGTAGTTTTAATCGACAGAAAACTGAAGTGACAAATTCTATAACATTCACTAAGACAAGAAACTCAATTGAAGCTTTGAAGGTTTCCATATAATATTTAAAATATTGGTTATGTAGGAAATTAAAGAGACTTTTTGGCATCATTCTAATGTAAATGTACATGAAAACATTTGATCAAAGTATACTTATTATATTGTATTTCTTAGGTTTATCAAGGAAATCCAATGTTTATCAAAGTTGTGTTTTAAGTACCAATCTGCCTAAGAATCAGGCAGTGGTGAAAACATGACAAAATGTATAATGGTGCACGAATATAACCTTCGTTTCCTTTTCCTGCTCTGGTATTTCAAGATATAGTTTGGTTGAAATGCACTAGAAATTACCAATTAAGGGGAGCTAACTCTGTAATTTGCTATCATTCTAACCAACATTTATATAGAGATTTCTTGAATTTCCAGACACACAGAAACGAAAGACCTACCATTTCTAACTCAGGATGAGAATAACTTCAAAATAGGATGGTTAGGGCAGTGGCTTTATATTGGCCATGTTTTGAAATTCTTCTAAATTGCCTGATTCTTACGAAGACTGGCCATTAAAACTAATTCTCACATCCTACCTTGGGCCTCAGTTGCTAGTTCATCTATATTAATCACTAGCCTGTCAACACTAAGGTTATGATTTTGAACCTGGCTTTGATGCAGGTGCGTTATCTCCAATTTTAAATTACTAGATTGCCAGTTTTTCCGCCTATGGTTGATTTTTCTCTCCCACCAATATACACAAGCCACAATGATAAGACAAAAGGTGTTGAAAGTGGCATTATACACCATTAGTCAACTAATCACATCCTTGTCTTTCGGTGATCATGTGATCAATTGTGGTACCTCCACTCTCACGGACTATACACATACTTTCTACTACTCAGCAAAGCCAAGTCTTCTTTACAATATTTGTATCTTTTTGATAGATAAATGTTTCAAGTATTTATATTTTTCAGCATGGTTTGGACTCCTTACCTAAAATGTATAGCTGATATATTTCCATCATGTACAGTAAATGGAGTAGCACAAACATTGATGACCTCAGCGAACTTCAGGAGTCTGGTACCACAAGGACTTGATTTAATAACCTTATGTCTTCCAGGTAATATATTTATATATATATAAAACTACTCTATTAAAGTAAGACAAATATTCTTCCAAAAATAGTTTTTTTAATGTATGAAAATAGTATCAAGGTTAGCATGCTTTGAAAATTTGTCTGGACATTAAGATGGTATATACTTAAAAATTGTTGGTGGATGGCATCCCACGATAATTGTTGTGGACCTGGAATTTTAGCCTCTCCTGGCTGAAAAGACCAGTGAGTGCTATTCCCATCACTTGGTGTTTGTCTTCTGTCGTTCAGTGTCCCTTGTCTTTTAGCTTTTATAAAAATCTTCTCGAAAACTAATTGGCTAGTTGGAACCCCACAATCCACACCAATTAAGTTTTTTTTTGGTGTTAAAAATTTAATTTCTCACTTCAGAAAAAATAAAGAATACACCTTCTTCTCACCAAATTTTCATTTATGGCTTGCTAAAATGTTCATTTCAGAAAAATTATCAATAAACAAAAGTTTGTCCCGCTTGTTCCATATTTTGTACATGAAAGTCTGGAGAACAAGTAGTCAATTTGGAGTGGTCTTACAGGGAGACGACATAGACTAGAAATTATAGGAAGAAAATTGTATTTGTCACTTAAAATATGATATGGTTACAGCAAGATGGCATTAAATAGTTAAATAGTTAAGCAATTCTATAATGTCATGATAATGATATGGTAACCAGGGAGAGGCTATGATAATTATATGGTAACCAGGGAGAGGCTACCACAAAGACTACCTCAGAAAGATACCACTACTTGAATAAGATTTTTGTTTTTTTACCAGATGAGAGTTCATCAATGTTTGAAATAACCATTGAATTTAACATTCCATGGAAGCCAGAGTATTCCAATACATCAAGCAAAGAATTCAAAGACTTGGAGACCAGACTTGTAAATCAGGTACCTAAGTATAACAAGGAATTTATTAATGTATGAGGGATACTAATTTTAGTGGATTTCATGACTGAAGGTAAATTACGAAATTACTGTAATATTCTCTGTATATAATATGTAGTTACATCAAAAAATTGTTGATAGGTTTGTTTCCACATACCCATAAGTAATTGTTCATTTACAGTTCACATATTAAAGTTTTATTTTTTTCTGAATAGATTATTACAGCTACAGGAAACAACAGTGCTGCAATGGATTATTTAAAGGTGAAAGAACTTAGGTTTGTATTTTTTAAAATAACGTTTGAATGATTTTAGCAGTGAGAACTTCAATTGTTGTTATCTCAACCTCTTTTTCAGTAATCAGATTAAATTTTGTATGATGCTTAAGCCAAACATATATGAATTATTTTAAATGAATAGACAACTTCCCATGTTGAGCAAGTGGTTGAAAAAATAGGATGCTATTTTGCACAAATTATTCTTATAATTGATAATCAGTAGTACTGTCATTAGGGAATTGTTGTCTCGCCTTGACGGAGTCAAAAAGCGAGACATATATGTATGCTGTTTCTGGTGTCGGCGGCAGCGGCGTCAACAATGTATTAGTTTGTGATTAGGTCAATTTATGGGGAACCACTAGTGGTAGGTCAATGAAATTTGGTATGCAGTTGTATAAGCATGGGCATGTCTCATTTCCATGGAGATTATTTGGTTCCACCCCCTTAGTCGTGGTCTATAGACTGAAAAATTTTCTAAGTTTACATGTATTAGTTTGTGATTAGGTCAGTTCAAGGGGAACCATTAGTGGTAGGCCAATGTTAATTGGTGTTCAGTTGTATAAGCATTAGCACATCTCATTTTCATGGAGAATATTTGGCCCTGCCCCCTCAGTCATGGTCTATAGACTTTGAAAATTTTTCTAAGTTTACATGTATTAGTTTGTAATTAGGTCAGTTCAAGGGGAACCATTAGTGGTAGGCCAATGTTAATTGGTGTTCAGTTGTATAAGCATTAGCACATCTCATTTCCATGGAGAATATTTGGCTCCGCCCCCTCAGTCATGGTCTATAGACTTTGAAGATTTTTCTAAGTTTACATGTATTAGTTTGTGATTAGGTCAGTTCAAGGGGAACCATTAGTGGTAGGCCAATGTTGATTGGTGTTCAGTTGTATAAGCATTAGCACATCTCATTTCCATGGAGAATATTTGGCCCCGCCCCTCAGTCATGGTCTATTTACTTTGAAACTTTTGCTTAGTTTACATGTATTAGTTTGTGATTAGATCAGTTTAAGATGAACTGCTAATGTTAAGTCATTGATATTTGGTATGCAAATTTATTAGCATTTGCAAGTATCGTTTCCATGGAGATTATATAGCCCCACCCCTGATCATGGTTCATTGACTTTGAAACTTTTATTACATAGTTTACAAGTTAATGTTTGTGTTAAGGTTTGTTTAAAGGGAACGACTTATAATAAGTCAATGGTATTTGGGACATCTCATTCCATGGAGATTGTTTAGCCATGTACCTTCAGTCATGTTTCATCGACTTTGAATATTTGCATTACTTACATGTTAAAGTATTGCAATTTTAATTTCAACACTTGCATTATCAAAATTACAAAAAGGTGAGACATATCTCTGTGATAACAGTTTATGATTAAGTACCTACAGAACAAACCTTATTTCTAGTTTATATTGCATAATGACAATCATGAAAACGCTTGATGAACTTTAATAGTACAGGGATACAGGCAATCCCTCTATCTGGTAAATGACATCATGAAGGCGTGCATACATACTTGCCAACCTCTGACAATGAGAAATCATGTCATGACATGACATGACATGTTAAAAAGCGTGTGAAAACGCGTGACGTAGATGCGGACTTTTTCATAGAACAATGTTCATAATTTCACAGTAATCATTATACAAATTTGTCAATATAATAAACAAGAGTCTACTGTAAACTTTTTTTGAATTCAACTGTTGCTTTTGAAGCAACATCACTAGGCAGATATATATTCAAAACACGGTGCATACTTGACGAACTTTTCCGGTGAAGGACATAACTTGAAAGTGGTCTATTCATCAGTGGTGCTGTGGGCGATAACCATTAAACCCTTAAAATTGAATTTATAAAGTAATTTGATATTATGAGAGTGTCTTCTCACAACATGAAGTATGAAAATATAATCCTCTTCTGTAGATGTGACTATACATGTAGGGAAGTCAGTTTAACAGCAGCATAATACCTTTATTTGAAGATGTCATTAAATTAAGAAATAATTCATGGAAGCCATAGATTTGTTGGACATTTACACATGGCCTGGGCTGTGATTTTCAATTTTTATCCTCAGCGTTAGCAAGGGATAGAATTAACGAATATCACAGCTCAGGCCATGTGTAAATGTCCAACAAATTTATGGCTTCCATGAATTATTTCGATTCTAATGGGACAAATACGGTAATTTGAAAACTGAAGTGAAGGAAAGATTGCTGTGTGTATGGCTGTTCTACTTTATCCCCTGTAAGATGAAAACTACAAATTTCAAATAAATCTAAGTCTTGCATGAATTATTTCTTATATAACCACTAGAAAAAATGTGTGGAAATCCTCATAAATCTTAACCAAAACATTTTTTTTCGTTGGCTACTATTTATTGTCAAATCCACAGTTGACATTTTGTAACTAAGGAGTGAGCGTGAGCATGACGTTAATGCGCCAAGATCATTCATGAAATTTTACAGAATTTTATTTTATTTTATGTTATACATTTGTTAAGCACTTGTGCATTAATTCTTTTTGTTATACATTAGAATAGGAATAACGGTTCTGTAGTTTCTTTTTCAATTTCACTTTGAACACAACGAAATCGATATAGTGTTTGCACATATAGGTTGCGTGACATGTGGATTTATGTGGGAGGTAAATAGTAACAGCCACCAATATGTACATCTCTGAGTCTGCGCTAAGTATAGATATATCGAGAATTTCATCACGCTGTTGTTTACAAAGCGAAAGAAGCATGTCTTATTAGAATTGTTCTTCATTTACAGAGAAGGCAGTGTAATAGCAGTATTTCTGATCAAATATTACTATCGACTTAAGACATCAGATATCAAATCAGGCACAGTACAAATGATTTTGGAAGTTGGAGGTGACCCAAGGTCACAGCTTGATTTAATAAAGGTTGCAGATCCAGATAGTGTTATTGTTGTATCCAAAGCAGGTAAATTTAAACATTGAATTAGTTGGAGGTGACCCAAGATCACAGCTTGATTTATTAAAGGTTGCACATCCAGAAAGTGTTATTGTTGTTTCCATAACAGTATCAGGAAAGTGTTATTGATGTATCCTTAACAGGTAAATATAAGTATATCATTATCTAGAGGTCACCCAAGATCACAGCTTGATTTGATAAAGGTTGCAGATCCAGAAAGTATTATTGTTGTATCCATAACAGGTAAATATAAACATATCATATGTAATTATGTCGGTAAAATTAAAAAGAACAGGTAATTATAAGGGTCATTATAGAAATACATAATTATGGTCATTACATGTACAAAGCATTAATATAAATGTACTTGCCATTGAGACAATTTTCCACTTGAGACCTACGGTAATGATGTATAAGTTAGCAACATTACCACCTTCAACAATGAGCAAAACTCATACCACATAGCGAGATATAAAAGGCCCAGAAATGACAAATGTAAAATATCTCAAACTAGAAAAATAATGGTCTGATATATGTATATAACAATAATGATAAAAAGCAACAAACTACAACCACTGAATTTGAGGCTCCTGACTTTGGACAGGCACATACAGTATGTGGTGGGGTTAAACATGTTTGCAAATACCTGTCTAATAGAAAATAGTTGTTGTCTATTCCTTTCTTGGTGATTTTATTTCCCATCTTAAACTTATGTTCTGTAGTATTTTGGTATGATTAATATAACATTTTTTATACAGATGACACAACAGGTTCAGATGATGTCTGTAAAGTTTACAGTATAGAAGTCATTTCTGTTCAGACTTGTACTATGGCTTTGTATGGATTTATGAATTCAACCACCATAGACCAAGACATTCTCTGCAGGTAAATATAATATAAGTGCTCAGAGAAGTTAAACTTAAATTTACATGAGTTCAGCCTCAGTTTGACTTAGGTGGGTTAAGCTTAGGTTTACATGATTTCAGTCATAGCTTGACTTAGGTTGGTAATGCTTAGATTTACATGAGTTCAGTTTGTGTTTCCAAATCAAGAGGTTTCCTGAAGACTACTTGAGTACCTCTTGCATGATTAGACGGATGGAAGATATAGGGAAGGGAAAGACTCCTTGTGATTTTGGGTCAATTAGTCAAAGGTCAAAGGTCACTATTACTTAAAAAAAATAAAAGTTTTTAAGCCCCAATCGTAGGGGTGGGGGCAATAAGGTTTACCCTTGTCTGTCTGTATGTACGTACGTCCCAAAATTGGTTTCCGTTCTCTAACTTGAGTTTGCCTCAACCAAATGTTATGAAACTTATACAAGATGCTTATTACCACAAAACACAGATCAAGTCTAAATTTTGGTGATGTCACTTTAACTGTTGTAGAGTTATGCCCTTTATAAATGGAAAAATTGCAAAATTTTGGGTTTCCGTTCTTTAACTTAAGTTTGCCTCAACCAAATGTTATGAAACTTATACAAGATGCTTATTACCACAAAACACAGATCAAGTTTGAATTATGGTGGCATCACTTTGACTGTTCTAGAGTTATGCCCTTTATAAATGGAAAAATTGCAAAATATTTAGTTAGCGTTTTCTAACTAAAGTTTGCCTCAACCAAATGTTATGAAACTTATACACAATGCTTATTACCACAAAACACAGATCAAGTTTGAATTTTGGTGGTGTCACTTTAACCGTTCTAGAGTTATGCCCCTTTATAAATGGAAAAATTGCAAAATTTTTATTTTCTTCTAAATATCAAGTAATTTTTTAAATTGGAGCTAACTTCCTTTGTCCATGATTATAGTTGAATCAACTATAATCAATGCTTTATACAATGTAATGTTTAATTTTGACTTCCACTGATAAAACACACATCAAGTTGAATTTGGGTAGTGTCACTTTAACCATTATTGAGTTATGCCCCTTTATAAATTGAAAGATTGCAAAATTTTTAGTTTCCATTCTGTAACTTAAGTTTGCCCCAACCAAACATTATGAAACCTATACACAATATTCATTACCACAAAACTAAGATCAAGTACAATTTTTTTGTTTCCGTTTTCTAACTTTAGTTTGCCTCAACCAAATGTTATGAAACTTATACACAAGGCTTATTACTACATATTACAGATTAAGTACTAATTTGGTGGCGACACTTTTACCATTTTTGAGTTATGTCCCTTTATAAACATAAAAATTGCTGAATTTTTCGTTTCCGTTCTTTAACTTTAGTTTGTCCTAACCAAATGTTATAAAACTTATACACAACCGTTCTAGAGTTATGCGTGTTTACAAATAGAAAAATTGCTAAATTTTTAGTTTCTGTTCTCTACTTAAGTTAGCCTCAACCAAATGTTATGAGACTTACACACAATGCTTATTACCACAAAACTCAGATCAAGTTCAAATTTGGGTAGCGTCACTTTTACCGTTCTTCAGTTATGTCCCTTTATAACTATATGATATGCAAGCGGGGGCATCATTTGTGTCCACATGTGGACACTATCCACATTTATTTCTGAATGGTATCTTCAGTTTCATTTTTTAAGCAGAATGAAATTTATACTGATTGAAGATAAAAAAATTGGGAAGAAGCCTATAGATTTTGGCGTCAATAAGTTAAAGGTAAAGGCCACTAACTGAAAACAAATTTTGTTTTCGAAAATTTTGAGTTTCCCTTGTTTGATAGAAATAGACTTTATACAGATTAGAGACTAAAGAATGGGGGAAAGCAGAGCGATTTCATGGTCAACAGGTGAAAGTTAAAGGGTCACTGTTACTAGAAATAGAAAATAATTGAAAATTAGTTTCAGAGTGGTAGCTTTACTTTCCTTTGTTTGATTGAAAAGAAACTGATATTGATGGGAGATATAAAAATGGAGAAGAAGCCTCCAGATATGGGGGTCACAGGTCAAGGTCACTTTAACTAAAAATGGGGAAAAAAAATGAAATAAATGGTTTTAGGATAGAAGTTTTAATTTCCTTTGGTTGGAATAAAACTTATACAGATGGGAGATATAAGGAAGATATGGAAGCCTATTGAGTTTTACAAGATTTGAAAATAATTTTTAAAGTCGGTTTTGAAATGGTATCCCACTATGAATTTTAATACATTTATTTAGATGAAAAATAAGCAATTATAGCACATTTGAAGTTTATACAAAGTCCTCAGAAATGTTCCTGAATATTTTTAACTGTAATTTGTTCCATGTTTGACTAGAGTACCGATTCTGGATTGTAGATATACTAAAGGTCCATTCATAATTTGTTGTAATGTTGTACTCAATATTAAAGTGTCTGTTGTTTATACAGTACATATTTCTCCTTTGGTTAGTGGATGTGTGTTTTGTAATAATGAAAAGTATATAACGCCTGAGTAAACATCCAGAAAAACAGTTACCTCCTTGCAAAAATCTTTTGACCTGACATTAAAAACCTGTCTGAGTATAAGTCTAACTTGCCGAAATGTGTGCCCAATGAACAAAATCCTCAAAGTCACACATAATGAGTTCTTAAGACAATTAATTTAAGCAACATTTTAATTATCCTGATTTGCTTCAGAACTCTCCATTTGAACTCATGATATGTAAAATTAAGCATTTAGTACTCATATCAACAAAAAAATCAACATAATTCAAAATCCTGCTCTATCCCATTATAAATAAACTTCTGTGTAAATACATGTATAGCGTAGCAGTGCCAGTTGTATCCAGGTTTGAATGAAACATAAATCATAAATGAGCTATAACTTTTATTATTTTATATTCATCACTTAATTTTGGCCCTTGGGAATCTACTCAGCTAAAATTAAAATTTTTGCTCCATGCCTAAGCCAAGAGCCTATGTGCGTACTGAAAAGTAGCAAAGTAAAGACCCCTAGCTTGACATCACACCAATCCAATTGGATCTATGGTTCCAAATAAATGCGTGAGGCTATCAGGAAGCATATGAGGCTATCAAGAAGCCTATGAGGCTATCAGAAAGCCTATGAGGCTATGAGGAAGCCTATAATGATGCTATGAGGAAGCCTAGTATGTGGCTATGAGGAAGCCAAGTAGTGTTGATGTTGAATTGGTGTTGGAATGAATTTGTATGAAATTTGACAGTTTATCCCCAGAAATTCTTGGGGGATGAGTGAAATTTTTGAAACAACCAGTGATAAAATTTCATAAATGTCCAAACATGATGGACGTGTTTCAGATGCTGAGGTTATTTATCTGATCCATGCCTAAACCAGCAGCCTATGTACATGTGCGTACTGAAAAGTAGCAAAGTATAGACCCCTGGCTTGACATCACACCAATCCAACATAGCTCCTAAAAGTACTTTTTGCACTACTGGTTGCTGAGATCTACTGATATGAACTGATGTTGGAATGAAATTTTTAAGCACTTTTGTAACGTATACATATACAGAAAAATCAATAAGAATCTTATATAAACTGTGCTGAGATTGATTCCCCTGTCATGGCAATATTGAAGGTGTAAGGTTGGGGTTGGTGGGAGGCAAGTTTTTAGTTAAGCCACTTTTTGAGCAAAAGTTATTCTTTTAACTGCTTAATCTGCATTGAAAAAACTGGACACTAAAGGCAGCATGTACTGGTTTTCAATATACAACTACTTAATGGGATATTCCTAAATGGGAGGAGCTAAACTATACCAAAGTTTATGTGCAAACAAACAAAGGATAAAGGAAAGCCAGATGCCACAAGTGGTCACTAATTAACAAAACATGTATATTTGTAATGGAACTGATGTAATTAAACCACCCTGCTAAGAAACACCTGATAAACTCACATGTAGCTGATTAAGATATGATGATAAATCTGCTTCTTCTCAATAGTAAAGAAAACAAAAAATCCTGGGAAAATCCTAAAATAATGACTACTGAGTGTAATGGAAATCAAACTATGTATAAACATAACTTATATAACATATAAGTAACTATTTATACAAAGTCCTCAGAAATGTTCCTGAATATTTTTAACTGTAATTTGTTCCATGTTTGACTAGAGTACCGATTCTGGATTGTAGATATACTAAAGGTCCATTCATAATTTGTTGTAATGTTGTACTCAATATTAAAGTGTCTGTTGTTTATACTGTACATATTTCTCCTTTGGTTAGTGGATGTGTGTTTTGTAATAATGAAAAGTATATAACGTCTGAGTAAACATCCAGAAAAACAGTTACCTCCTTGCAAAAATCTTTTGACCTGTCATTAAAAACCTGTCTGAGTATAAGTCTAACTTGCCGAAATGTGTGCCCAATGAACAAAATCCTCAAAGTCACACATAATGAGTTCTTAAGACAATTAATTTAAGCAACATTTTAATTATCCTGATTTGCTTCAGAACTCTCCATTTGAACTCATGATATGTAAAATTAAGCATTTAGTACTCATATCAACAAAAAAATCAACATAATTCAAAATCCTGCTCTATCCCATTATAAATAAACTTCTGTGTAAATACATGTATAGCGTAGCAGTGCCAGTTGTATCCAGGTTTGAATGAAACATAAATCATAAATGAACTATAACTTTTATTATTTTATATTCATCACTTAATTTTGGCCCTTGGGAATCTACTCAGCTAAAATTAAAATTTTTGCTCCATGCCTAAGCCAAGAGCCTATGTGCGTACTGAAAAGTAGCAAAGTAAAGACCCCTAGCTTGACATCACACCAATCCAATTGGATCTATGGTTCCAAATAAATGCGTGAGGCTATCAGGAAGCATATGAGGCTATCAAGAAGCCTATGAGGCTATCAGAAAGCCTATGAGGCTATGTCTGAGGAAGCCTATGAGGCTATGAGGAAGCCTAGTATGTGGCTATGAGGAAGCCAAGTAGTGTTGATGTTGAATTGGTGTTGGAATGAA